GGAAAGGAACCCTCTCAGGAGGGTCTCAAGCTTGAAACCCAGCCCTAACATTGGCTAGCTCTGTGACTGTAGTTAAGTCATATTACCTCTCTCAGCCTCTGTTTCCTTATTTGTAAAATAGGGATATCACTCGTACTTTCTGACTCCGGACAGGAAAGTATTTTTAAACCTTTGGGAAACAGTCATGAAGTTGAGTAGTAATAACTTCAGGCAGGACAGTCACCACTAAACAAATAACTCTCACTTACATCCTTTTCCCTTGAGATTTTATCCATTCTAATAGCTGCACCCATCACCTCTGTAGATATGGACAACTCCCAAAATTGTATCTTTGGCCTTCATCTTTCTCGTCTTTGAGTGTGACATTTTAACTTGCTTCTTGTTCATTCCCATTTAGATATCTTGCCATCATGTCAAACTCAACTTGTCTAAAAACAAAACGATCTTTCTCCCCTAAAACAGCAGCTTCTCTGGACTTCCTACTTCTCTTATAAATACCAGCATTCATCTAGACATCCAGGCTTACATACACCTTGAAATTATCCCTGATTTTCCCATCCTCCATCACTACGCCTAGCAAATCTTGGGGTAGTTCCTTTACATATTTTCCTCCGTTTTGTGTTGTTTTTCCTATTTCCACTCCCATTCTCTCAACTCAGGCCCTCACTATTATCTCATTTTACACTATTGTGACAGTTTCCAAGGAGGGCTCCCTGCCTTCAGCATCTTAACCTCTCATCTATTCTATATACCACTACCAGATTAATTTTTGTAGATGTCATTCTTGTCTTTCAGTCACACCTTCAGTGGCTTCCTATTGCCTACAAAATAAAATCCAATCTTCCTAGAATAGTCCTCTGTAATGTGGCCTCCGTTTACCTCTCTTTTCTTAAATTTTAATTACATGTAAAGACAAATTCTGACATCCATTTGAAAATTTCAGTTCCAAATTTTCTCCCTCCCTTTCTCATTTCCCCCTTGCCCTAAGATGGTAAGTAAGTTTATATAGGTTATATATGTGCAATCATGAAAAATATATTTCCATATTAGTCATGTAGTGAAAGAAGAAACAGATCAAAAGAAAAAAGTATGAAAAACACAAAGAAAGTGAAAATAGTACGCTTCAATCTGCATTCAGACTCCATCGGTTCTCCCTCTGGATGTGCGTAGCAATTTTCCTCGTGAGTCTTTTGGATTTGTCTTGGGTCACTGTATTGCTGGGAATAGCTAAGTCATTTACAGTTGATCATCATACAATGTTGCTGTTATTGTGTACAATGCTCTCCTGGTTCTACTTACTTCACTTTATTGTCTTAAATTTTACCATTTCCTTACAAAAAGTTCTGTTCTTCATTGATCTGTCCCCAAAACATTTGCCAAATGCCTACTATGTTAAGAAACATTGTATTAGGCATTGAATGAAATATTTCATTCTCCCAGTTATCCAGTCTTAAAATGAAGACATCTTTGGGGCATCCTTCATCTTCATCCAGGGGGAGCCAGAGTCAGCTCAAACTATTCTGATGAAATCCACTGTCAAATTTTCAGTGTATTTATACCTTAGAAAGTGACAAACAATATATATTAGGGCTTGATTTATTATTTTGTTGATTGTCTGGACTTAACAAAATGATGGAGAAAATGTTAACAATTCAGACTAAAGTTAAAACTGTATGTACTTTTTTTTTTGTGGGGGAGGGACTTGTTAAATATTTACTGGCACTCTTCAGGCCATTCTAGTACACAGTGATTTCTCCCTCCTCTAAACTCTTACATCATTCATTTGGTGTTTAGCATATGCCATTTTGTAGTCTTAATTGCTTTCGTTCCAGATGTGGGTTTATTTTTTTGGGGGGGGAGTCTGGGGAATCTCCTGGTGTGGAAACTTCCTCCATTAATATAGATCAACAATTCCTCTATAACTTCAGTCTTAAAAAACCACATGAGGCTCTAAGAGTTTAAAAGACTTACCCATGGTCACATGACTAATGTGTGTAAAATATAGAATTTGATCTTACATCTTCCTGATTCTAAGGTAACTATTGTTTTATCCCCATAGTGTTGTTGTTGTTGTTGTTGTTATTATTATTATTATTATTTTTTACCAAACCTATGATTTCATTGGTATAGGAGCTCTGGTTAAAGAACTCTTTTTGCCAGTGCAAAAAAAGCACCTGTTCTGCAACTTTCAGGCTAGTCTAACCCAACAAACATTTTATAAAGTACCTATCATGTGCTAGGGCTACAAGGACAAAAGAAATAGCAAAAGAGCCCTCTTTCCTTAGTGGCCATCTTGGGCTGGTAGGTGGCACAGAGGCTAGAGTGCTGGGCCTGAAGTCAGGAAGACTTGAGTTCAAATCTGGCCTCTGACACCAGCTGTGTAACTTTGGGTAAGTCATTTAACCCTGCTTGCCTCAGTTGTTTCATCTGTAAAATAAACTGAAGAAGAGAAATGGCAAACCACTCCTATATCTCTGCCAAGAAAATCCCAAATGGGTCCATGAAGAGTTGGACATAGCTGGAAGGAAAAAAAACCCATGACTGATCCACTTTTCTTCCTCCCAAGGGATTTTACTTTCTTTTAGGGAGGGTTGAGCGGGATATAGCATGGGGATATAACATGTGCACAAATTTGAATAGGTGGGATATAGCACTAACAACTAAAGGAAACTAGATGATTAAATATTCGTTGATGGCAGGGGCTCCTGTCTCATAGACTTCTTTGTATTCCTAGCAGCCAGCATGGTGCCTTGCTCTAGTAAGCATTCCACAAATGTTTATCAATTTTTAATGGTACTCATAATGATGATCAAGTCCGGAAAATATTGGATTAGACTTAAAGTAAATATGCCAAGAAACCTTAATTAAAGGGTTCCTAGCAATCTTTAATTTCCCTTTTTTGCTGTCAGGAAATGGAAAAACTGAATCAAAATTCACATAACCCTGAACTGAATTTGTAAGTAAAAGGTTTCATTTTGGAAACAGCCTGAAAATACATAAATGCTTTGACTTCTATTTTGATAGCATACTAAACACTAACCATAACTGCTTGCAAAACCTCAAATATTTCTACAAATATGGTACAGACATTCTGGCTCTACCTGGCTATATTTGAGAAATACTGGAAAACACTTATTTGTTAGATGAATGTTTGAAAGCAAATCTCTTCCACATGGAAACCTGTTTGATTTAGTCCAAAAAAACTACTTTTTAAAAGATTAGAACCAAATGAATGCTTGTATAGGAGAATATCATTATGAGATTAGCTTCCAAATAGGACTTCCCTCCTTTTAACAGTTTGTACAAGCCAGGAAAAGATCTACCTTCCTCTCTGTCCTTTAGAAAAAAGAAAACCTAGGTTTTTCATACTATGGGTAAAAGAAATCATTTTTTGTGTCTTTGGTTTCTCATACTAGGAGGGAGTTACTTTAAACTTCTGAAACAGGGTCTCAGACTAGGATAATGAGAATTATATGATGGTAAGAAGTTATTAAATTTTGGACTGAGTTTTAAAGAGAGGTTGCAGAATTTCTCCATGTTGTTTGAAATAGGAAGATTACTGCCTGTTATAAGAAGTGATCAGGGAATCTCTGAATTGGTAAATTCCCATGGAACTGGATTTCATCTTGACTGCTTGCTCAGGGACATTCACAAGAAACTCCTAATGGGTTCATCAGCACCTTGGGGTGTGGGGAGTTGAGACAACAATATGTGATCAAGCGTCAGAGGGTTCAGACTTTTATTGAAGAAATGTTCTCCCTGAACAGAGTCTCTAAGACATGTGGAAATGATTCTACCCTCCCTCTCAATTTAGGTAAGTTTTCTCTCCCTTGGACTTTCAGTAAGAGAGTAGAGGGGCTTTCTTCATGTTCCTGTAGACCAAAGAGGGGAGGAAAGGTTGCTTTAGCAATCATCTATCTTCTCTGATCCCAACCCCTCCATGCTCAGTTATTAGCCATCTTTTGCTCAACCCCCTAGTCAACAGGACCCAATCAGTAGTTCCCTAGGCTATCCTCAGCAAAGAGTCAAAGTCCAGCTTCATGGGAGGTGCTCTAGTCTAGTAATTCAGGGGTTCCCCCAATCATTTTTGGTCTATTTTTTATCTTGATTTTGATGTCTGCTGACCAAAGCAGGACACCAGATGAGATGATTTCTCAAGCCTCCTCATGGACCTAAGGTTTACAAAATTTGCTCTGATTTTTAATATAAGTCTGAAAATCTAGACTATTTTGGTATAAGTTATATAAAAATGGTGATAGGGACTGCAATTTCATTTATATGGCAAACTCCCAGGGGAGTAAACTCCCTCTACCAATTCACATTGGCATCTTCTCTCCAATTAACAGTCTTAGAGACTTGCCTAGAGCACTGAGATGTTAAGTGACTTGTTCAGTTATGAAGCCAGTATGTGCATCAGGGGTGGTACTTGAAACCACTCTTCTTGGCTTTGAATCTGGTTCTCACACAGTGACAATGATTTGGAGGGAAAAAGGGTTACCTCCTCCCCCCACCTCCATCCAATTCTATCAGTCTCTTCTTACCTGACTACTCTCAAGCTACTTTCTTTCCCATCAATAAACATGATTTCATCTTCAAAATTCAATTGTTAGTGGAGGATAAATGAGAGAAAACAACTTGCACGTTGATGATGAAGACGCAATGAGATGGCTTGAGTTCAACAGTTAGTTGCTTGATATGATCATTCCTTTAGATACATGCAAAGCATACCTCCATTAAATAAAGGTACTATTCCTAAAAAGCATGATCCAGTACACCCCCACCTGGGTTTTCTGGGAGTTTTAACTACTTCTATGTAATCAAAAACTGTAAGCAAAAGGGTGTAACTAGTCAATCAGCACATAACTCTGGACCAAAGGCTATGCAAATGGCAGATCAAGGCTACTTTCACATAAGGGCAAAATGTTAGGATTAGTATAACCATTAATTTAATCCCTTTATATTTAATCCTTTTTCTGAAATAGAAAGCAACATGTCCTGACCTGGCATGATTGTCTTCTTGCACTCCGAGCATTTGGAAGAGTACTCATTGGAGTAACACTCAGTACAAAGGAGATGTTCATCTTTGGCAGCGAAAGGCTTGTCCACCAGAGAGTTCTTGCATTGGAAGCAGTGAAAGCAGCTCTCATGCCAGTGCCGATCTTTGTAGGACAGATCCTGCAGAATCCCAAACCACCAAGAAAATGGTGAATATTTGGCAGAATTAAGAGTCAAGGAACCCTAAAGACATCTCGGCACAATTCCTAACCGGGGTTTATGATGCAAACCTGCAATGCAAAACAATCAAATGTCCAGTATCAGGACAGACATTGATTTTTTTTAATCTTGCCCTGTCTGACTGCTGAAGAGAGAGTAAAATTGTTCATTTTTATGTCGATTTAAAATACCACCTTAACTCTGACCAATACAGTGACCAGCCACCATTCCAGGGGATCAATGATGAAGGATGCTTATCACCTACTGACAGAGAAGTAATGGGACTCAAGATGCAGAATGAGACATACATTTTTTGACATTGTCAATACAGGAATTTGTTTTTCTTGACTATGCTTATTTATTACAATGGGTGTGCTTTACTTTTCATTTTTCTAAATGGGTATGGGTGGGGAAGGAGAGAAAATAAATTCTTGCTAATTGAAAAAATAAATTAAAATTAAAAATCTAAAAGCATCTCAGTTGGATTTTTTGTAATGCTGTAGAAAAACAGGCAGCATTTCACTTAGGAGCCTCATTTTTTAGTAAACATCAGTCTTCATGATGGATAACACCCCCAATGCTGACTGACAATTAAGAACGCATTTTTCATATTTGGGAGGATCATTAAGGCTCTTTGGGGCCAAAAAGCAAAGGTAATTTACTAAATTACATGCCAGTGTCTTGAAAGAGCTAATGCAAAATCAAAAAGGTACATCCAATTCTGTCCTATCTTCCTCTTATGATTGATATTTTTACATTATTTTTTCCTTTGGGTTTTTATTCACAACTGACCAGAAACTATTTATTATTGAAGAAGAGACAGAATTATGAGCCAGAGGCGAGTTCTCCTCACGATGCTACTAGGCAGTAGGACTACACAATTAAAGCTTCCTGACAAAAATATCTTTCTCAAGGTATTTCTGTTACTGAAAATGGTTAACAGGAAGCATGTTGAGAAACAGCCACATGCAAGAAGATACTCCAAAGCAACCCATTTTACCCACCCTTCTCAGAAGTGGAAGGTATCTACAAGGCAGAAAAAGAGGGCTGGCTCTGAATTAAGAGGACTTATATCCCCCCTCTGATGCTACTTAGCTTCCTCAGCCTCAGTTTCCTCAAATGTAAAATTAAGGGAAAGGATTAGATGGTTCCTGCGGTCCCTTCCAACTCTAGACCTAAGAATTGCTAGGGGGAAAACACTAGAGTGTGAAATGTTGAACTGTACTGACTCGGCGACCGGAACACAAATTTGGATGAGGCTACGGACCCCAAAACATGACAGAACTATCGTGCTGAGATGTAAACTAAACCAAATCCATAAATGCAATTTTCTGACGTACAGCGAGGTCTGACCACCAGGTTATGACTTTTTTTCAGTCCTAAAAACTCACGAAGATTTTCTATCTAGGTAGCCGTGGAAATGTTGGGATCAGCATTGGTCCTGGGAGCACTGCACCAAAGAAATCACAGATCTTTTGATTGAGGTAAATCAAGCTAAAGTCAGTTGGTTTGTTTTTCACTTACAATATGGTTTAGTTCAAGCAATTTGAAAAATGTTAACACTCTGCAAATAATTGATGCATTTACCTGCTATAGCAGTGTGGGGTCTCAGATAAAGAGTTGGCCTCTGAATCAGGCAGGCACTGGACCAAGTCCAGTTTCTGACACATAGAGTCTGTATTACTGTGGGCAAGACACTAAATCTCTCAATGCTGCCAAGTAACTCTCTATGACTCTAAACTAAAAAGCAGGTACAAATCCACATCTATAGATGAAGTTTCAGCGAGAATCATAAGTTCTCTATACCAGTGAAATCAGAGGTAAGTCCGTTCACCTCTAATCCTTTTCTAGATGCCTATGAAGTATGGTGTGCTGGACAGATGGCTGGTCTTGGAGTCGAGACCTGGGTTCAAATATTACCTTTGATACACACTACCTATGATAACTAGTGACCCTTAGGAAATCACTCAACCTTTCAGAGCCTCCAAGTAATTCTAGTACTATAAATGACAGATGCCTATCAGGCTGCATTGTTTTCTCACCAAATACTCATTAAACCAACAAAATCATGGGTCTGTACCAAAAAAAAAAAATCAAAGGAATAAATCCACTAACCAACAATTATGTATATGGACAGATACCTGAAAGGATAAACCTAATTCTGGTCTTGATTTTCACATTTTCCTTCTTCCCACTTTGGTTAGAAACCTCTTTTACCCAATAGTTGGAAGATGTTTGATAAGATGACCATAAACCTGTGCCAAAGCATTTTTGTAGGCATTTGTTTTCATGATGTCTCTCTGTACCTTTGCACAGGCTAAGCCTCGTTCCTAGAATACTTCCCCCTCCTTACCTCCACCTCTTGGGACGCATAAATCCCTTCAAGGCTCCGTGCCAGTGTGACCTCCTGAAAGAGATGTCATTGATACTCATCCAGAACGAAGGATGAACAACAACCTTCAGGAGACCTTTCTTGGTTATCCCCATAGTTGTTGATGCCCCACCTCCAAACCACTTTGCTTTTATCTTTTTATCTGTGAACATACTGTACCACTTCTAAGAATTTAAGCTGCTTGAGGGCAGGGACAATTTCATATTTGTATTTTCAAGCCCAGCACCTAGCATGATTCCTGGAACATAACACTTAATAAATGTTTACTGCTTGATGTATCTTCTTGTCTAGATCACGGCTGTCCCCTGCATGCCCTGGGTTTCTCTGAGATCAATAATTATTTTTTTTTATTTTTAGGCAATTGGGGTTAAGTGACTTGCCCAGGGTCACACAGCTAGTAAGTGTCAAGTATTTGGTCTGAGGCTGCATTTGAACTCAGATCCTCCTGACTTCAGGGCTGGTGCTCTATCCACTGTGCCACCTAGCTGCCCCCTCTTTGAGATCAATAAGAGTATCATGTATCATGATAACTAGAAAGAAAACATGGTGAAACAACTGCTCCTTGCTCCTCTTACCACAAACCAAAAAGAAGGGAAAGACCATGGTGGGCTAGAAATCTGGAACATCATGATGCAATGGGTTTGTTTTTTTTTAACCAAATGGAGATGAATACAAACTCCTTCAACATTTCAGTCACTGGTCGTAACACATTAACAGACACCTCTCTACTCAAAAGAGGTTTCGGGTAGCTTGGGTCCTGTCCTCATCTATCGTTTAGAAAGAAACCCTCGCAGGTATTTTCCTTTATGTGTATGCTATCAGCATGTCCTGATGTTCATACTTCTCATGTCTTTTTCTATAATGGTTTTGCATAATGAACTCTGTTTTGTACTATTTCAAACTTCTGAAGCAACCAAAATCTTAAACCTTTCAGTATCACATTTTGCAACAATTCATTCAATTCATTTCCCCACCCCAACAAAAGAAGTTGAAAAAAAAACAATCAGTCTCAGGGGAGCAATCTTTTTTTTTCTATCTTTTAAGAGAAAAATGCAAGTTAGATTCAATTGGGAAGAGTTGTTTTTGTTTGTTTAAAACTCTGATATTGGTGCTCTGGAAAATGGAATGATAGGCTATCTTTACTATTATCTTCCATGACATGAAAACATACACATATTTCTTGTTATTTTTTCCTTGTCTTCTCCCCTGGTCTCACCTACAATCCTCCGCACCTTCCAAGCTTGCTATTTGATTTCTGGATGAGATTGGTATGTGGGTTGTTTTCTGTTGCAAAACTCCCCCTCCCACATACACACAAATAGTGTTCAATTATTCCCTCTTTTCCTAGGTAGATTTCTTTAGGCAGAAATCAAAATATGATTCAGACTCCTGATGTGAGAGGAAAACAACAAACCAAAAACTAAATGACTTGTATTCTATAGGTATAGACTTCTGAATATGAATGAATTTTTGGGAAATGAACTACAAAACAGCTGTAGTTTATCATAACAAGAAGGTGTAATAAAATGGAACATGCCCATTTGGTCCTTTCTTGGTCTCTCTGCTTTTTCTAGTTCCTTCTCTTGAGCCATTAAAAAAAAAGATGTTAACAGATCAGAGACACAGTAGAATTACATACAATTCCCTCCTTTTCTCTGTCCTCTCTGATAGCACGTGTTCAATCAGCTTTAAAATATCAGGCAAATTAACTGTGTTTACCTTTCTGCTCTTCAATACTCTTGCTGTACTTCTTACGCACCTCTACCTAGATGTCATATTTGTTATATATTCAAGTTGAACATGCCATGTTCTCTTCCCTTGTTCTAGTACTACTTTCTAATCAGTAAGTGCCAATTGTGAAATACTACATTCTGGGGCTAGTCATGCAGAAGGGACCCAAGCTTCCATCTTTCTGAGGCAGTATGACTACAGATGAAGTCCATGATTATATATGCTTTTTAGTTACTTTTTACCAGAGCCGTAAGAATGACATGGTGATAGAGGCTATATGTCAGGAGACTAATATTAGGGTATGTGCTTTCCCCCACTTTCCTGGGGGTTATTAGAAGCCTTTACCCCTCAGACTCCTTAGGGACCTAGGAATGGATTTTTTCAGACTGTTCTGACCCCACCCCACTTCACCACTGGACTGCCCTCTCTCTGTGCTGTTGCTCTCTTGCCCTGCTCAACTGTTTTCTGCCTCAAGTGAAAAGGCTCTTAATTATAGTTCTGCTGCTTGCATTGCTAATTTAATTTCCCCCAATTGCCAGTTCAAGTCTGGCATTCTTACTTGATGGCCTTTCCTTATTCTTTCATTTCATTACATTAATATCAGTGTAATGGGGAACCTGGTTGCACAATGGATAGAACTCTGGACCTGGAATCAGGAAGACCTTAATTCAAATCTGGCCTCACATACTTACAGCTGTGTGACCCTAGGCAAGTTACTTAACCCTGTTTGCCTCAGTTTCCTCATATGTAAAATGAGCTGGAGAAGGAAATGGCAAACCACTCCAGTATCTTTGCCAAATTGGGTCATGAAGAGTCAGACATAACTGAAATGACTGAA